ACCCCAAGTTGGGTGTTGTTCGCTTGGTCTCTCTTGAAAATCACAAAGGGGCTTGGCCCAGCTCTTCAGTTTGGCTCAAAGACGCTTTTGGCACACAATAAGTGAAGGCTGAACTACCCATTCCTTACACCCAGCAATCCTTCTCAGAAAATATACACAAAAACACACGAGGAAACTCCGATTCGGAAACTCCTGATTTTAAGGAAGAACACTGGTTGAGCGAAAGCAGCAAGCCCTAAAGGATTGACCCCCAGAAACTTGAACAGATATTAAACCCCCAAAAAAAAACATTGGACAGGACACAAGCAAGGACTCACCTGAGTCACGATCAAAACCTGGTACAAAAATGGTGAACCCAAAACCATGCAAAGAAAGGCGGCCAAGGCGGCCGCAACTATTTCCGGCTGGGACTGGCCCTTACTAACCTTCATCTACCCAGGTTTTGATTGGGACTCACCTGTGAAAGATTGGGCGCTCGGTGGCGGCTTCGTTTCGGTCCTTGAGGTGGGGCAAATACCAGGCGCCGCAGTCCAAAAAAACGCCGGAGAAACGCGTTGAGCTGATGTGCAACAAACGTGGGTGTGGCACAAAATGTGTAGAAACTCGCATTCTCGCTTCCTAAATGCACAACATGTGTGGAAACTCGCTTTCTCACATCCTGACTCAATCGGCCAAAAAAAAGTCTGTACTCCCAAAAAGTACTGCAGGAACTCAGGAAGTGAGCTTTGGGATAACCAAAAGTTGTGGAAACTCGCTTTGGGATCAGCTTCCACTGGTCTGGTTTCGACTCGGCTCATCCGGGCGCTGGTCCGTGCGCAATCAGCACCGACTTGCCGAAGGGGTGGGGCAAGCGCCCCGTGCGCCCCGCCTGGCGGTTGGCGGCTGGCGGCGGTTTTGCTGCCCCGAAAGGGCACCCACTCCTCATAATATGGGTGGGTCTTCTTCTGGAGAGCGGCTTTTTGCCCCAAACCCACAAAGGGTACCCAGATTCCTCATATGGGTGGGTCTTTTCTGAGATCTGGACTCACATGGGTGTGGGTCAAAAAAACGCAACCCAAAAGGGACCCTGGTAAGTGGAAACATGGACTAAAATATGCGGACCCTTGGCGGTTTAATTTGGACCAAGACCCACAATATGGGGGGTCTTCTTGTGGAGACACGACTCTTAAACCACAGGATCATCTATCCAAAAAGGCTCACGAACCCTTGAAAAAACCATTTGGGCACGGAGGCAACCATGTGTTTGGCTTTAAAATAAATCCTCATATGAGCCATGGTCGCAATATGCGGTTATCCTAAAGCACATGGAAGTATTAGTGAGTCCCCATGGATTCTGTGGCAAACTCAGTGAGTCCCTCCTACATTGACCATAGACTACTGGATAGTTTGGCCGAACCACTTGAAGGGTGGGCGTGTGTGCGTCTGTGTCTGTCTGTCCGTCTGTCTGCCTGCCTGCCTCTGTCTGTCTGTCTCTGTCTGTCTGTCTGTCCGTCTGTCTGTGTCTGTCTGTCTCTGTTCGTGAGTGTTTGTTTGTTTTTGAGGGTTCATTCATTGTGCTTTAAAAGACATGTCAAAGGCAAACCACCCATTTTGGTGATCCCTCATTTGAAGACATCTGGCACCGTTACACGTCATCCGATCAAACATCAACCCCCCCGCAGACGAGAATGTGAAGGATCCCCACGTACGGGAGCAAAGACCCTTCGTTTGGCCTTCTGAACATCTGGACACACACCTGCCAATTGCCAAAACCTTCACCGTCGCTGAGGGCCTGCTCCCGAAACAAAACACATAAGCTCGGTTGCGAAATCTGCTTCCCTGCTAAAAGTTTCACCTTTAGTGGTTTAATGGAAAAACAATTAGTTGGCAAAAAGTTAAAGTGCCCAACATCCAAGCAAGATGCACCAAAGTAAGGTTCTTGGTCAATCCTCTAGGTCCAAAGGTGTTAGGGGCTCAGGGAATTTCCAACAGCGCCAAAGCCCGAAAAAGAAAGCAAGCAGCCTGTTGCTTGACCATGCAAGGACTCATCGAACCCGGCAACTTGGGAGGGATTGAAAATTGAGAAGACCGTTTTGTAGGTGGGCTGACCTTGGTCTTCCCCTCAAAGGGTTGTCCTTTCTCGAGGGTACCCTGTCTGGGCATCCTGTCAGCAAAAAAACACCCCACGATTGCAAAACCCCAAGCTCCTTGTAAAGGGAGGCGCTCTCCCCACTAGACAAGGTGTCTTTTTTAGGGGACCTCAAAACTGGTTGGTTTTCTTTAGGTGTCCCTTCAAAACCACCCAAAAAAGGTTACCCTCAAAAACAGACACCGGCGTGTTTGGGTCCCAAGCTAATGTGACACTGGCATCCCGAACGCCCGCTGCGCAGAGCGAGCTCCGATTTTTTTCTCGCAGGCGAAAGCTCGCTCATGTGCATTTACCTAAGAAAGCGCGACTATGCGCACTGGGTACGTGCCCCAAATATTTCTACCATCATATGGCTGTGGGTGAAAACCAATGCTACCAGTTTGGGGTAGGTGCACCACCCATTTTAGAACCTATTTTAGTGGGGATTGGGATGTTCATTGGAGGTACGACTTGGACTTTGACCCATGGCCAGAAAAACCTCCGACTTTACCTGCCAGGTTGGAGTCCCTATGTACTTTACATAGCGTTGCCTTGGAGCACGTACCTCAGCGGCATGTGGGTATTTGCTTTATCATCTTGGCGCAGGAAGTTAGGTCGGCAAGTTGTCCATTGAATCGCGGTTCACCAAACACAAGTCGTCTGCACTCAGCAGGTCAGACCACAAATTGCTGGCTTCAAACAAGACTTCCCAAGTGGCCCAAAAAGTCAGACAACTTGTGTACCACTCGATTGTCCCAACCCCCCCCCCCCTTCCCACAAAAAAAAAAAAAAAACAAGATGTCGCAGGAACTCAGGGAGTGACTAAAGCATGCTCGTCCAGTCAGCTTCCTGCGCCAAGATCCGGTCGATTGTCTCAGCGCGATGCCAAGCGAGTGGCCTCGAGCAAAGGACACCCAAGACGGGAGATTGATCTTGACAAAAGCGCTCCCTGCCCTCCCCCTAAGAAAGGGTGGAAGATGGGCGTGCTTGTTCCACTGTACCTGCCCAAACAAAAAACAAGGTGGAACATGGGGGGGGGGGTTACATGCAAACAACCCCAAAATGGTGGAACGTGGGGGGGTGATTTTAACTTGCAAACAACATCAATGGTGGAACAGGTGGCGGGGGGGGGGGGGGGTACTTGCACACTTTTGCGTGTTTCATAGAGCCAGGGCCCCCCTGACTCAAACCCAGTGCTTTGAATTTGACAGAAAAAAACGATTTTTCTGAGAGCTCCAAAGGGCCTCTTTTGCTGCCTTTGACCCAAACGAAAGTACAAAGGACGCAAACAGGAATCGGTCTTTTGGCAGCCTGAAAATACGCCGCCAATCCTGGTTTTGCGCAAATCGACCCTGAGAAGGTTACCATGGTTTACTAGCGCGAGGGCAAAGGGTATCCTATTGGCACCTGTGTTTCGGGCTGAAACCCTTTGAGAGTCCCTTTTGATATTGCAACAAACAACCAGCAACTGTGGGTGTCTATTTTTAGGGGACCCTCAGAATGATTGGTTCCTTGCGGATTTTGCCTGTAAACCCAACCAAACACGGGTGCCCCAGAAATCCAACACGCCCATCTTGTATGCCTCCCGTTCTTGTTGAGGGGCTGAGTTTGCAGGCCTCAATTGCAATTCCAGCCCGCGAATCGCGTGTCCTTTGTAGCTTGCGGGCGGGGAACATGGATTCTCAACCAACTAAGTAGCTCATTCTGGGTGAGTTATAATATTTCGCCAGCCTGAAATAAGGTGGTTGGGGGCCCTTCCCCACATAAACCACCATTTGGGGTGAGGTCGTGTGAGGTCGTTATAATTCACCCAGGCTCATAATGATTAATGTGAAATTAACAATTTTAAGGGGACGATCATCCCAGTTGCACAAAGCTATCACAAAATGATTAGAGCCTACTAAGTTGGCTCAACATCCAAGTTTACTTCTTGCGGGCGGGTCATTCTTTGTTCAGAATTCTAGAAACCTGACATGCGAGGGATTAACACGTAGTAGGCATTTGAACCCCAAAATGGTTTGGTGCTCCGAACTCGCTTCACCAGTAAGGGGGGGTGTTTTTGTTGAGCCCCAAACAAATGTGAGTTTCCTTTTTGTTTCCTGTCAACCCACCTCCCACAACCCAAATCAATCCAAGTACCAACTCAAGACAGCGCACAACCACGAAAAAATCCAGGAAGCCTTCGGGCTTTCAGTTTAGGTGGCGTTCACGTCAGGGCGGCCAAATGCGGCCAAATGCGCCACCGGGAGCCCCCGGGACTTGGTTGCTTCAAGACAAACCTCGAGCAAGGGATTAAGGTACAACCCCTCGAGCACAAATTTTGGTAGCAAATGGGGGTACAGGTACCTCCCAAGTTATACGAGCGGGAAGGGATCGGAACGTTCCGAGGTGCTCCAGGTGCCCAACTGGGGGAGTCCTCTTAAAGTGATTTGGGTGTGGCTCAAAATTAAACGATCGGAGGGGCTGGCTCCGCAGGTGGTGGTCCACGTTTCCACTTACCAGGGCAAGCCATTTTGGTACCGGTTTTTTGAGCCACAGCCATTTTGTAAAACCCAAGAAACACCTGTGAATAGAGAAAACTCCAAGCGTTTGGGGGGATTCTTCTTGTGTGTTCTATGTGTTCTATGTGAATCTGCAGAAGTGCTCGTAACATAGCGACGGACCACCTGCAAAGCCTCACAATCATCTGCTCACTTCTTGGCCAAACAAGTCCTGTAACGGTGTGGTTGGCGCTAGAATAGCCTTCCCAGAAAGTTCAGTAAACCTCGGCTTCTTTCTGATCCCCTGCTAAAAAACAAGCTCGTGCTTCATGTGGTTTGATTCGCGCCAGCCCTTCCCGTGCCTCGTCTTCCGATTCCGAAACCCCTGATCGCCGCCTGAGGGCGCCGCCGACTCATTCCAGCGCCTCAACCTCGAAAGGGTCGTCCACGATGTTGATGCCCGACATGTACACATCACCTGAGGCCATGTGGGTATGTCGCAAAATAGGGGAGCCCCGAACATGGCTGGGTTCTTATCGTTTTTTGTGTTGCGAACCAGTCTTTTGTGAGTTCCGTCAAAAAAGAACTATGCACACTAATCCACCCAAAACAAGTTGTTGGAAGTGACTCGAAGGAGTCAAGCAAGAAACACTTTGGGGCCCCCCTTAGGGTTTTTGGAGTCAGCGACTCCAACGAAGACGCCACGAGAAGGCCTCGAGGTTTCTTGGCTTGTTCTTCTGAGTAAAGAAATGGGTGCGGCTCAAAATTAAAGAACAAGGGCAAACCGCAGGTTTTAGTCGTTGGTTCCATTTACCAAGGTGCCATTTTGGTACATTTATATGCGATCCTCAGCCAAATGTCCACTAATCCCTTCCCCCATTTAATAAATAGACCCTCTTATGATAAATACTTTCTTCCAGACTGGCTGAAAGAGCCGGGTCCCCAATACTACGTGTAGAAAAAACAAATCAAAACCAATACTAAACTGTCCGATGTCTCTGCCCAGACCAGCCCCAGCCTTATTAGGGGGCTCCTTGCACCAACCCAAGGCCAAATTCTAAAGGCATACTTGCCTGATACTAATTTACGTTGATTTCTTGAATTGTAATTCTAAGTTTCAACTGCGCGCTTGAACCAGAAAATTGTGGTTTTGAGGTTTTTCGTGTCGGGAAGGTGGGAGCCCATTTGGACGAGGACCGAAGAGGAAATCCGGTCGACCCCACAAAGTGACCATTTGACCCTGTGAGTTGGTCAACAGACCCATGTCGTGCATTCCTGTAGCTGAATATGAATGGGTTTGCAGCGCTTTTGCCTTTCCTTTTGACTTCCCGTTTGAGATTCCTTGCTGGTGATTGTCTCAGGAGGTGGGTGAAAACCACACCAGCTTGCCTGAGTTGAGCCAAAACCAACACCTAGGTAGCTAAAGTATAACCCCTTCCCCCTAATAGTAGACGCGGACGGGACCAAATATACTTATCAGAACCAATCCGAACCGACCCCAAGTCTGGGCACAAAGCGCAGCCAGACCCGTAACCCATTCTGATGTGAGATGACCACTGCAAGCCCCTTGTCCACGGCCCAGACTTCTCCCTGCCTCATCAGACTGTCCCTGCATTTGAGTTTGCTTCTCGCGATCCTGTTTACCATTTGGAGTCGCCTATGCCAGAGTTTCATACAGGCGATGGTGTCACAGGCTTTTGGCATTATCACACGTGATTCTCAGACACTCATGCAGCAGCTCATTGTGGACAGTTTGCCAGGATTTGACACTGCTTGGATTTTGAGGGCGGCAATGAACGGCACTAGCACTATACCACCAATAGGGCATTCTGAAGAAGATGTCCCATTAGTTGGCTCCTGGAAGTTCACTTGGCAATCTTTGCTACCTTTTGCCCTGATAGTTGCACGTAAATTCTTTGCGTGATGTATAACATCACCTGATAGCATGCAGGTCGTGTGATGTACGCGCGATTATCTCATTTGATGCTCAAATTAGAGAACGGGCCGCTCCTGAAATTGGAGCGTCAGGTTGCGCCCAGGCCGCGCTCATAGCGCAACCGGATGGCGGACGGCTCGGAAAAATCATGAGTGATTGTGGTTTCCGGCGTTTTGATCTCGGACTCCTTTCTGGTTGAGTCGACGGAAAACGCTGTTACAATGTCCATATCTACACGCGCACATGCTCTCGCATGGTTTCTTTGGTTCAGCTTCAGAGTGATGATTCTCTTTTGCTGCAACTTTGGTGCGTGGCTGCTAGGGTTGCAACCTGGCCCCGCCAGCTCCAATGCTCACCTTACTCATAGTGCCCACCTTACTCACCTTACTCTTTCTGAAAGTCGCGCAAGAATGAAAGCATCACGCCGGCGACACAAGCGCGGGCGACCGCCAGTTCGCTGCTTAAAGCACAAACTGCTGAAGCGCTCCCGCCGTCATTTTTTACCACTTTTGGCGCAGAAGCTGCGTCGCAAGTTACAACCCCTTGCGCAAGAAGCTGGTTTGACCTTCGTACTGCGTGCGCTACATGCGGCGCTTGCGTTTTTCTGGTCTTCGGGGCGGACGCACGGTCCTGCGGTGCCAGAAGCTCGCAGGCTTACTCCGCCTGTCCTCCATGTGACGCAAGTCCGCTGTACAAGCCACCAATTGTTTCTTGAGGATTCTGGGTTTGTTGAACTACCGCAGCAAAACATGCTTGACCATGTGCAAGTTTGTTTGGAAACCTGGTGCTCGGCCCTGGCCATCCCTGAGTCCAGGCTCGCAGGCTGGGTGCTTGCGCTGGAAGCAGCAAGACCTTGCAATGCTGTCAGAAAATTGCCTTCGCAGATGACAAGTGCTGTGCTAAGGCTGGCTGCAAGTGTTGCATGCCTCTTGGAATCCAAAGTTACCTCATGGCAGCACGTTCAAAGTTTAAGTGTAATCTTGCAGGCTCTGTGCCTCTGGATTTTCCCGCCTTCGCATAAGTGTAAACGTAGCACGTCCCTAGGCACCGATTTCATGTTCTTTGCGTGCTGCAGCTTGAAACTTGCACTCATCACTGATTGGCAGTCACGAAGTGGACGCAGAAAGCGCCAAAGAGCTGTCAAAAGATGCAGGAGCTTGCCCCCTGCTGTGTTCGACGCTTTCCTTAACCCGCTTGGATGGACAACAGTTTCCAAGAATGCACTGACTGAATTTTTGAGCGCGCAAATCTTTGCTGTGCTACGCGAAGAGCCAGGGCATGCCGTCATGTACCAGCTTTCATCGCCTTACATCAATTACGTAGGTTCCACTTCCATGGATGTCAAGCGGTCCGGATGTTCAGGATCTTCGCCCACCATGAGAGCATTTCAACACATCCTCGAACACAAGCAACAGCGGACTGTCGACTACAAGCAGCCAACAAGTGCAAAACTGAAGTGCCGGCTTTTTCGGAATGTTCGGGTTTGCGATCACATGTTCTGGGTCCTTGCGCAAGGGCCAGAAACGTACATCCGTTGCCTAGAGGAGGCCGGAATTGCATGTTGGCGGCCGCACGGCAACAGCAAATCCATAGGAAATATGTATGTGCGCAGAGCTCGGCGTTCTAGAGCATCTCGTGAATGCCGTGCAAGACCTGCACACAGAGTCCCACCATGGAACGAAGCCCGTGCTCACACGATTTCGTATGAGGCATGGCACTGCCTGTGTTCTAAGATGCAGACGGCGCACTCCAGCATGTTGCAGCAGCAGCCCTGGCGTTGCCACCTTGCCGGTATACCTCGTGTGGGTTTCTCAACTGGGTACAGCTTAGCCTTGCAATACCAGTTGCGCGTAGGTTTCGGCCCTATTGACTTAGCTGATGTCAACATGCCTGCGTTGTTGGCAAGATACATTGCAGATGCTCGCAGAGTTGATTGGGATAGCCTCCACCAAAGGTTCGGAGCTTTGCGGAACGCCCACTCACGTAGCTCTGCGTCGCGCGCAGTGCGTATGGCCAACATTGTTCGCTCCATGCCCCGCAGTGTTGCCAAGAAACGTGCCCAAGCACGCATGTCTGCTCATCTAAGAGACCTAGGCTTGGCTCCAATTAAAAGAGTCTGTGTTGGGTGGCCGGCCGGGATCCCTGTCTGGACTTTTCGTCAAATCCTGCGATGCATGAGGCAACAGGCTGCAGCTGCGGGTGACACACATGCCGCGTGGTTTGTGTCCCAAGTTCAGGCAGTCAGAGAACGGAGACGCACCCTTGCTGACAGGTGGCAGTTCATCTCGGTGGCTCAAAGGTTTGGTAAGTCTTCGGGCACGTGTAAACTTGCTAGGCTCAAGCCTACGGCGCAGGACTGTGCAAGCATGCGTAGGGTCAAGTTGCACTGGCGTGTGCCTGAATGGCAATCCCGGTCAGACATACTAAGTGTCGCGCAGCGGTCTTTGCAGTGGATAGCGGGGAAGATGCGCCTCCCTCTTCCCCTCAGCATGTGCAGACGGTTGCTTGCATCTACTGTGCATGTACCTGATCCTTCACCTAGCTACCAACAATACCTGAGTAAATTCCCACGGTGTCTATCCCATGAGGTTCTAGTGCAAGAAGACAAAGACAAGAATGCTGCTTGGATCATGCCAATTTGCGTGTATGAAAAATGGTGCTTCTGGTTGTTCCGCCAGGACGCAGTTCACTGGGTGCCAGTTTCTGCAGATGTCCGTGCCGTGTGCGAAGAATACAGGCAACTGCATCTAGAGCTCCTCCCAAAGCATCTAAAATGTTGGGCTTCGTGGAAGCGATGGGAACACTTTGGGCTGCCGTACGCATACTGCACCCTTAAGGCAAAATGTTTTGCAGCAGACGGTTTGACCCAGCATATCTGCCAAAAGCCCGCCCACTCATGCTTCCGAAGAATCATTTCGTGGCGGGCCCATCCCGCACGCAACGTCTACAGAGGCGCTGGCAGGGCGATCCTTGGCGTGATTGCTGCGCTGTCAGTTGGTTTCGAGACAGCAAACTTGTCTACTGCAGTGGGGGATTTTCGAAAAGCTGTGAACAGATTGGCTTGCTCGAGCAGGCGTTGCTTCCGTTGCTTTTCTCCCAAGCCGGTCTTGTCACTTTGCGTGTGTGATGCCGCTCAGATGTACGAAGAATTGTGTCCCACTGAGATACGTGATGCTGTGGGGTCCCTCATTGACAAGCTGCGAGCTTCAGTGCCCGCAGCCACGGGCATCGCAGTTGCAAGATCCAAGCGCCTCCGCACTTGGCTGACCACGAGTGACTTCAAGCGTAATGCATCCTGCTCCATTTGGACCTGGTCTGATATCCTTGCTGTGCTTGACTTAGCCTTGCGCCAGCCAATCATTCGTTTAGGCAATGCCTTGTTTCAACAGCAGATTGGGGCACCCATAGGAGGTCACTTGTCCAAGGCCATTGCTTCAGCAGTGCTAGCTTTCGCAGAGCTGAAGGCTTGTCAGTCACTTGATAAATTGAAGCAGGCTGGCTTCATTCCTTTGGGTGCGGGTTCATTTTGTGATTTCGTAGCACCTGCCAGATATGTGGATGACCTGGCCCTGGGCTCTCACATCCTGTGTTCAACTTGTTTGCACACTCTCACCAAGCACATTTACCCAAAACCCATTTGCTTTGACTCCGCTGCCCCGGACAAGTTTGGGTTGCAATGGTTAGACGTTTGGCTGGAAAGTGTCGAGGGATACCTTCGTGTCCGAGCTGATGGTGTAGAGCATGCTTGGCGTTCCTCTGGCGGGGCAGGCCTGCCGAAAAAGTTCCGCCTCAAAGTCTGGCTTGGAGACTCGCATGTTGACATTCACGAAATGCGTGGCATCGTGGCAAGCAAGCTGGTGAGATTGAAATCTCTCCAACTTTGTCCCCAGCAACTTCGTAAAACAGTGAGTGCGGAGATTGGCCTTTGGGCTCTGAGTGGCTATCCGGCTGCCACTATCAAAAGGATCTGGAGAAGATCGCGGCATTTCCCTGAAGCGTCACAGATCGCAGCTGAAATAGTAAATGCCTGGATGCAAAGCGATTTGCCGCAACGCATACTCCCCTCTTGGTTTGAATAGACCATGTCTGCACGCATGGCTTGTGCATTTGCTCGACTTTGCTGAATTTGGCTCACCGGTGCTGTTAGCAACCCAAGTTTTTGCACCGTAGCTTGGCGCAGCATGTCTTTCTGGCAAGGGGACGGTGGCAAAGCTGGAGGCTATGGCAAAGGCTATGGCAAGAACAAAGGCTATGGCAAAGGCTCTGGCAGCAGCAAGGGCTATGGCAAAGGCTACAGCAAGGGCTCATGGCAAGATCAGCGGTCAGGGCCTTACGCGAACAATCGCGGCAGTAGCTTCGAGCACGCAGTGAGCCGTTCCTTCCAATCTGCCCTTGGCTCCACCTTGGAATGTGCGATCACAGAGGGCTTCTCCATGGTGGCAAGCCGGCTTGCAGGGGAAGGGCGTCCAGATGTGCCGCAACATGTCTCCCCGCCAGCCCGCGCAGGGAGTGCCTTGACCCGTGCCATCGTCAGCCTCTTCGGGGGAAGCCAGCAGCAGACAGATGCAAAAGCGGCAAATGAGCCAGCGCAGAAGCCTGTCTCTGAAAGCGAAGCAGATGCCGCAAGTTCCACCGAAGCCACCCTCAAGGCCGCTTTGGTGCAGCAGACGCAGACAGTGGAGCTGCTGACAGACCTTATGAAGTCCACGCTGGAAGCTGGGGGCAACGCCAAGGGCGCAGAACCAGTCCACTCAGTGGAAGCCCCCTTGGTGAGAACCCCCAATCACGAAGCAGACAAGATTGCGAAGTTGGAAAGCCAGGTGGAAAGCCTCATGCACGAGCTTCAACGCGCCAAGGCCTCGTCCTCATGCGCAAAGCCAGTGCCAGCAAAGGCGAAGGTGCAGTCCATCCTTCCGTTCAAGCTGGCGTCTCCAAGCAACTGACTAGGCTACAATTGCTGTGCTTCCTCCCCGCCTGCCTTTGTGGAGACATGGGGTGGGTTTTGTGTAGCAGTGCTCTGGTACCTCATCAGACTGTCCCTGCATTTGAGTTTGCTTCTCGCGATCCTGTTTACCATTTGGAGTCGCCTATGCCAGAGTTTCATACAGGCGATGGTGTCACAGGCTTTTGGCATTATCACACGTGATTCTCAGACACTCATGCAGCAGCTCATTGTGGACAGTTTGCCAGGATTTGACACTGCTTGGATTTTGAGGGCGGCAATGAACGGCACTAGCACTATACCACCAATAGGGCATTCTGAAGAAGATGTCCCATTAGTTGGCTCCTGGAAGTTCACTTGGCAATCTTTGCTACCTTTTGCCCTGATAGTTGCACGTAAATTCTTTGCGTGATGTATAACATCACCTGATAGCATGCAGGTCGTGTGATGTACGCGCGATTATCTCATTTGATGCTCAAATTAGAGAACGGGCCGCTCCTGAAATTGGAGCGTCAGGTTGCGCCCAGGCCGCGCTCATAGCGCAACCGGATGGCGGACGGCTCGGAAAAATCATGAGTGATTGTGGTTGACGGGGACATGGGCATGAATGTAAATCTCAGTTGCCCCGAATGGGACCCGTAAATTCAAGTTGGATCACCTTTGGGGGCCATGACGAGTTATATGGACCAAATCAAGAAAACAAGAGGTCAAAAGGTCGGCTTTGAACAAGTGAGTAATTGGGGACCCTTTGATGGATGTTTAGGTGGGGATTCACGTCCAACGACCGCTTTTTGGTGGTCCCTTCTAAAATTCACAGCCGAATCAAGAAAAACAAGACGGCAACAGTTGAACAGGGTTTCACCAGACCAAATCGGTTCTCCCCCGACATCCCCTGACTCCCAACTGAGCAGAGATGAGCAGAGATAATGCCGGGGCACAAATGATGCCTTCCGGCAGATCCTCGTCATCGACAGCCTGATTCGGGCTTTTCATTGGTGCAATCTCCAAGCTACAATACGGCGCAATAGGGGCCTGAATAATAGAGCTAAATCAAGGCAAGATGTGGATTATAGGTTCGCAATGGAAGCAACTCGAATTCTAAAGGTTGCAGGGTTTTTGGCTCAGAGAAGTCTTCGAATTTGCCTATAGTTTACCGGGCTGTCCAAACCGATCCCTGCTAGCTTCACTTTTTCATGTGTTAACTGGAAACCCAGCCACTAAACCAACAGAAAACAACTCAAATCCCAAGGAACCGGGTGGCTGGGAACCACCAAAGGGCTGGTGCCGTCTGTGGCGAGTGGCTTCAATGGGCCCAGTTGGTTCTCGGAATTTCGCCCAGCTGGTTGGAAGTCGGACTCGGACTCGGCGACCGGCGCGCGCTGGCGGAAGTTGGACTCGTAGCTTCCCTGAAGCAAAGAATTAGCTTGGGAGGGCCCGGTGGTATCAAAGTGGGCACATCCCAGAACCCTCGGGTTTTTGCTGGATTGGGTGTGTTGTGTTCTTTGACTCCCCAGCTCTGGTAACCCTTAACTGGTGGTTTGGCTCGGTGGTTTGGGCTTCAAGCGCCAAACCCCTGATGAACCCCACTTGGGAAGGCGGCACCCCAAAAACCCAACCACCAAACCCAGGGCGCCCTCAAACACACAATTCTGAGGTTCTTAAGGGGGGATGCAGAGTGGGTAAAAGGGGGGGGGTAAATGGGTAAATAGGATGTAAGAACCCATAAATCAATGAAAACTATGAGATGTCCCCACCCCCCGTGCGCCTGGACGGTGAAGCCATAGTGGCACTTGGCCTGGCGAGCTGCACAAGGGGTGGCCAGTTGGGCCCAAAACGGCTAAGCAACTCGCTCTGACTTGCCGCAACATTTGTTGTTGTTTTTGCGCGGAACTTTCGTGAGCGTCCACATGTGACATGGAGCATGCAAATTCACGAAGCACTGTACTTCGAGCAATCCCGAGCCAGGACATTTGTTTGGCAAAGCTGGCGCTGGACTGAACCAGAGAGGGGCTACGAACCCGACAAAGTCGGGCTTATCAAGAGGACTGTCCTCCAAACCCCTCACTGCGACCTCAAATGGAGAGTTGTTTAAGTTGAAACAAATCCCAAGGAAGTTCAAGCACTGGTTCACACCAGCCGAGTTCCTGTCATACATCATAGCTGTCTGTCATAGGCTCGCAGCTGTCTGTCGAAAGAGTCTGTCATACAGGCTGTCGAGGCACGGGCGAACTTGCGGGTGGGCGGGTGGTGGGCGGGTCAGATGTCACTTCAAATCTAACATTTTCCTGAGTGCCAACAAGTCGAAACTGCTTTTTCACCACCAAAACAAACAAGTGGCCAGAAGCTTGGTTTGAGTGCGCAATTGGTTTCAGAACAGTTGGGCTTGCCTCAAAATCGATGGACTGTGACCAGTGGTTCCCTGTTGGCTTCCCTGTAAAAACAATCCAGGGGTAGTTCCCCTCAAAAGCTGGGCTGTCCAAACCAATCCCCTGCAAAGAGTCGACCACTTTAGTGGGTTAAATGGACACCCAACCACAAAACCCCCAAGGAACTGAACGGCTGGCCCGGAACCGCCGAGAAAAAATGGGAAAAAAACGAGCCACCCGTTGATGCGCCTTGGGCACGAAGTCTCGGAAGTTGTAAAGTACATCTACGAAGAGAAAAGGGAACTTCCGCACGTCGAAGCCTCGCCCCGAGCGGATCGGAGGTGGGGAAGGCAGGGTCTTTGATGTTAGTCCCTAAAACTTGGTCTCAAAGGATATGGAGCCCACAAAAGAAGCCGGTTCTTTTTGGATTCTCTTTAAACCCAAACACACCCTCGAGAAAATATGCTCTAAGGCTTTGCAAGGGGTTGCCCTTCAAACAATCAGCTGGAGGTGACATTTTACTCAGTTGCCCAAAGGCACTGGGAATGGAAAAAAAGGTTAACCTCTTGTTGCCATGACTCCAAATGGACCAAAAAGGGCAACCAAACGGCCAAAAGATTCTACGGGATAGCCCCAGTTACGCCAGCAGTTGACAAGTTGTGTTTATCCTTAGGTTCTACATCCTGGGTAGCTTCCCATGGTTCTCGAAACTCGAGCCGTGTTGAACACAGCCTTCCGCTCAACATACGCCGACAGGCCAGTTCAGGCAAACAGGAGGCTCCAAGAAAAATCATGGTAAGCGCACCAAATCCACCAACCATCCGAACCAGATTGGACACAAAGCCATAAACGGCAGGAGAGCCCTGTGAAGCCGTAGGGGGAGAAAGCTACTGGATAGGCCTAGAATTTAGCCATGGGGAAGTTTTTGAAACGGCCTTTTTCTCACTTCCCGAGTGGACTGGCCAACAAAAGTCCAAACTTTATATTTACCACTAGCCTTGACTTCCAAAACAGTTTAAAGTCCATGAAATCAGGAAGTGAGTTCAACAAACGGCCTTTCTTAAGGGGTTTGTTCTGGCGATAGACCTCCTTTGCAGGTCCATTGCTTTGCGCGTAAATTTACATTCCGGACTTTGATGCCTGGAACCCCCCCCAAAAAAAAGCTCATTGGTTCTGCCTTCTTACTCCTTGTGGCTCAAAGGCCCTGAGATCCATTGGAGTCACTTGCTCAAAACCAGGTGTTAAAATAATTGAACCAGAACCATGTAAGGAAATACCAGGTAAGGAAATACCAAGGCGGATATCCGCAGCTATTCATGGCTGGGATCGTCCCTTACTAACCGAACCATCTACCCGGGTTTTCATTGTGACTCATTATCCTGGAACATACTGTGGATGGACGAAATCCAATTCGCACGAAATGAGACCCTGGAATGGTTTGATTCCCCTGCGAATATGAACGAACATTTTTTCCCATGGTTTCAAAGTGGCGCAGGAGTTCGTCCATCCACAGTACCTTGGAATCCGAATCGCTCGGAATCCGAATCGCTCGGAATGGCTCAGCGACAACCATTAAAACCGGCGCCCTGAAACCGGCGCATAACCAAGATATAGTTGACATGCATGGGTGTGTGCCTTATGGTTTAATTTCTTGTCCTTTGCCAAAAAAAAAGAGAGCCCCTCAAAACACAACACGCCCACATAAGCGATGCTCTATGGAATCCTTACATGCCGCCCTTTTTGAGTTGCAGGAATGTACTTTTGGGGCCCTACCTGGGTTCGATATAGATTTGTAGGGTACTATAGTTACGTTGAGTGGTATGTTGAAGCCTTTCGCTCGATCCAGAAAGCCCGTGGAGGCTGTACTGAGTCTCCGGCCCACTTCCAGCCACTCCCCTTGCGGGTCTTTGATAACATAACCTCGGCGTCGGAGGCGGGGAACAAATTAGGGGTGGAGGTCCCCAACTCCATTTGTCTGCCCCGCTAAGGCTGAGATGACACTGCGAAAAACGCAAACACACACACACACTAATCACCCCACTGGCGCGAATACATGTTGGTTGTCTTTGTTGAGGGAAGCCTGCAAAGGGTGGTTTCCCTTTAAAAGCCCATGATTAGAGATAGGCCCAGTTAAATGTATATCTTATTGCTTGCTTCACCTTGAGTCTCTGGTAACATGTGAAATGTTTCCTAAGTCTATTGCAGAGCCGTTTAGTTTCCACCCTCAAGTCATCCAAGGGTCCAAACCGCGATCAGAGGCTCAAGTTGAGCGCGGACCGGTTTGGCATCGAATCCGGCCTTCTCAGGTCTACGAGCCTACGAGCCTGGAAATGCAAAGCTTAAGGGTGACAACAGATGGCACGCTTCCTTATCAGCATCCCCCATGGAGTTGGTGATTGGCTGGGAGAAAACGCAAAACTAGAACCTGGGACTGGAGCTGAAGGACCTCCCCAGGGCATTGCGCCGTCGATTGAAACCTCACCTGGGCACTTGAGCATGAGTCGACGATCCAAAGTGGCAGGGGCACAATGAGCCTCTTGAAGCCCCGGTGGAACCTTTCCAGCTGTGTGGCTCGCCATTGGCTCTCCACGATGTACTCCAAGAGCGTACTGTGGATGGACAACATCCATTTCGCAGTTCAGAAACAGCGTCATACTGTGGACAAAATCCATTTCGCACCACCGTTCAGAAACCCTAAAGAAAGATCTCACTGAAAATACCAACAAACAAATGGCTTCGCATGGTTTCAACGTGGTGCAGGATTGTGGCCACCCACAGTATCTCCTGACCTGACAGATCTGCAAGTTCAGATCCGTTCTTGCATGGGCTCACCAGGCAATCCAGGCAGTCCGCTGGAAGATATCCCCGCGCAGCTGCCCCACTTGGCTTCAACTGCATTCCGTCATCAGGATGTTATCATGCAAGGAGCGATTCGTTCCGCAAAAAGATCCCCTCAGGTAAGTAGGATAGAACCATGGTCACACCTCTCGGTTGCTTTCTGCCCCCTGCTAAAAGTTTAACTTTTAGTGGTTTAATACGGAAAACCCATTAGTTGGCAACAAGTTAAAGTCATAACAGCCAAGCAGCATGCGCCAAAGAACTGATTGTCCCCTTATAGCCATGGTGCGTAGGCGACCCCGACGATCTGTCCTGAGCCCCCCAAAGTTCAAGCCTACCCAAACAACCAAAGATCCAGGCCGTTTCCTCACTTCCGGAGTGCTGACAACAATATTTGCCTCTAAAACCAAAAAGTAAGAAGTCCATAAACTGCAATGCGATGTGATGTGATGTGAGGGAAAACTTGCTGGTGCTCAGCAAAGAATGAGGGAATGAACCTGGGGATTCCCTTAAAGGAAACCATAGGGGATGGTTTATAGGGGCATTCCCTCATTCCATGCCTATCGCACCAACAAAAAGAACTATGGACCTTCGCCACTGCACGATTGGTCCCCTTGGTCGCCCGACCGCTCTCTGAGATGACGAAGGACTTGCCGTTGAACCTTCCGCTCAGAACGGCCGAGTTAGACTTGGCATCGAGTCGGGTCAATTCACCATTGCTTGTTGTTGCCGTGCCTGTACTTTTGTCTTTTTACCGATATTCAGCGTTCGCCTATCTCTGGGGGTCACAAGCATAGCTTGGACCCTAAAATAAAACGTGATCACCTTGTGGGGCAACTAACCAGGGTTGTCAAAAAGGGGGAAGTAACAGATCAGATCAGATTTGGGCAAGTGACCTTTGAGGAACTTCGAACTGCAAACACGGACGGGTCTGGGTCCCCTCACCAAATTCCATGCGTAAAACCTTCCACCTGGCCGTGCCGCGGAAGACTTTAAAGCTTTCAACACTTCAAAACAGAAGGATTCTACGGGGTTCCCCCAAAAAATGTTCAACCCTAAGGGTCCCGACTGTTTTTTGGGCCCTCCAAATGGGTTGTCGTTGAGGGCCCTTGAGGGGTCAGGGTTCTCCGAGGGTCTGCATTGGGGTCATGACCCTTAGGGCAAAGTGACTTGAATCAATGGGGACTCACCGGGGATCCAGCTGGTGCATCTGATATTGTGCGTGCGCTGGGCTGGCAGATCACTGATGATGCGCCGCAGCATTACCAAATTGTATCGTTGAAACAACCCTATGTTATTCTGATTCAACATGTGGCAGTTGATCAATATTCCTGTTTCCGGAAAACACCATCTTCGCGAGAAAAAAAGTTTCTTTCGCGAATCTTTCGCGACTCCATCGCCACGCCCTTTTGTTTGCAGCGTGCGCTCTGGAGCCATTGTGACTGCTGCAGTTATGCTTGCAAACACGGTGGCCGCAGTTCACTTGCGTGCAGTACGTAGTGTTAAGTGCGAGCAGTCACCGTCATTCGCCCTTGCCACTTGCGCTTGCCGGCGATGCGCGGAACCTTGCAACAAGCTCCCTGGCCTTTCGCCGGTCTTTCGCGGATCTTTCGCGAAACTTGCTCCAAAATAGCCCAGCCATCGTTATTGATTTGCACCATTCCCAACACAGGCAGGAAATCAATACTGCAAGTGTAGGTGCTGCGTATCTCCCTATCTACAAGGGAGCGGGGTCTGCAAATATGTAAGTGCACAGGCATGCCTCCAAGAATCCAACGCGGAATCTTTCGCGAAAAAATAAGTTTCTTTCGCGAACTCCATCGCCGATCTTTCGCGGAGGAATTTAAACCAAGATGAATGCTCACCGAATACATAACTCCTTGCAAGGACCTTTTGATCAACCCCCATGTATGCTGCAAAGGGCCTGGAAACAAAGGCTATAACCCTGTCGAAACCTCTACATGCGCACCTCAAATGGGGGGAGAAACAAAAAACAAAGTTCTGGCACCAGATCTGGCCTGAAACAAAAATCCGTGCGGATCGGTCCGAGCCCCTCAACTTAGATGTTCAACCAACGTCAGGTAAGTAGGTTATAACCACTTGGAGGTGAATTCAAAGAGAAGCCAACTTTGATGCTCAACCAACTTAGTCAAAATCATCGTTATAGCTGGTGCAACTGGGGTGATCGTCCTCTCAAAACCATGTACGGCCTGAAAGTGTTTGGTTAGTCTCCCACAACTGGTGCCACGTATCCTTGTTTTTTCGGTTTTCCGAGCAAACAAAAAACAACACTCCGCATAAAAATTGACGTTCGTTGAGCATCCAGTACTTTTAGAGTGTTTCCGAAGAAGAAACGCTCCAGGGGAAGCCTCAACAACTCTAGGTCCTCCAGATTTCAGAGGTTAGACGTAAGTTAATTGCTACCAACTGTTTTCAGTTTTGTCTATTCTAGTAGGGTCCCGAACCCTCCCAACCCAAAAAACGATTTGGTGAGAGGTCGGGCACCAATTGCTGCTGGAAGCTTCACCGCGGCTCGAGTCCGGGCTGCCCGGCTGGTGCAGGAACTCCGGCACTCCAAGCCTCGGAGCTCGAGAAAAAAGAAATCCGGACGGCTGGGGCTCCGTTCAGAGAGAGACGGTTCGCCCCCCCAAAAAAAACCAAAAAAATGGGGTTCCCCTTTTTGGTTGCCCCCCAAAAACATGAGAGAAGGGTGTTCCGTTTGGTGTCCCGACCCCCCCCCCCACCCCAAAAAATAAATGAAGAAGAACAAACAACGGGTACCAGCAAAAAAGAACCCGTCCCGAGATACCATGGTAACCTACTAGCTTGGTGTTCGCCATCGAAGTAGTGAGCCCCATTGCAAAATATGGTCTTAGTACAAAGCCTCTAGGGTGCGAATAATAAATAACAGGCGAATCGAATCCTTCGAACACCCTTGGTCCAAATCCGGGCACCAACAATCATAGAATTGTTTGTTTTTGAAGAGACCCCTTTTAGGGTTCTCCATTTGGGGGAAGTTCCTGACTACCCTGAAAAATGGGGATATTGACCTGCAACCAAGTGGCAGTAACCCATGTTTTTTGGTAGTTTACCACCAAATGTTGAATGGTTTGAAGGCACCCACTCACACATTTGTGGTCACCCAAAAAGGGGTAGTTTCTTGGTTGCTGTTGACCCCCCTGCAAAAAGCTTAACTTTTTGGGAGGTTTCGTGGAAAACGCCTTGATTTCCCAAAAAGTTAAAGTCCAAAGATCCAACCCAATAGCAGTCAAGAGGGTGGTACCTTTCAGCTTTCGGTCCGTTTTGTTCGACGTCGAGGCTCGGGCTCTCCTTGGTTTAGGCACCAGCCGGCCGCTCGCAGCAGGCCAGGGTCCATGTCCTTGCACAAACGAACCAGCGGGGATACGGAGGGAGCGGGGACATGGGGGGATTCTCTTGGCGCCATTTCCCATCAACTTAGTCAAGGTGCATTTAGGGGGAATCCTCCCGCGTCCCTGGTTCCCCCTGTATCCCTGCTGGTGGGTTTCCCTGATGTCCTGGTTCAATACAACTTTCGACCGGGGGTCCCCAAACTTTGCTGTGGAATCACGGGGAGTGGGGGTAGGGTAGAGGGGTACCTTGCTGGCAAGGGACCTGGAAATTATCCTCCAACATGGCTTGTGCTTTAAAACTTTTGACCCCCAACAGCTTTTTTCTACTGGAATCGGGGGAGGGGGGGGATTAGGGTAAAGGCTCGTAAGTAGGGGGGTACCTTTCTGGCAAGGGACCTGAAAATTGTCCTGAACTAACATGGCTTCCACGACCAAACCCCTACGCTTTGCGGTTTCGTGAGATTGATGTTGCCCTTTATGTAGTGTGGCTATGTAGCGGGTGTGTATCCCATGAACCCTCTCGTGGGCATGGCCAGTGGAAACCATCTTGGAACGAAACAACTCGGCAATTAGCCAAGTCTGCATGACCACCCTCCCTCCCCCTCCAAGAACAAACAAAGAAGTCATCAATAGCCATGAGTCAGTTGCGTTTTGGAGGCTTATTGGGAGAAAATCAGGTTGAAGAGGTTGGAGTTTGTGGGTTGTGCAATAAGCCCTTGATATTCCCGAAGGTCTTGTCGCCTCAGGGCTCATTCATCCTATCCGAGCAACTTGCGTGAACTCGTTAGCCCGAAAACCCCTACCTTCAAAGGGGTCCAGACAATTCCACGTTCTAGTGTACAACAAATAAAATGGCACGTTTTCTTGAAATTCCAGATGTCACTCCGCCCCGTGCCAAGGACATGTACTTGAGAAGCCTAATTGCCTAGTTGCAAAATCTAAGTGTCCAGCATAGCGCCTCCCCACCCTCCATTTCCATGTATGTCACCCCCAACATGGTGGTTTTCACGCCAACAAGCGGTACCAACAAAACACAAATCCCCCATTTCTTAACTGGGATGCCCTCAGATCCCCCTCGAAAAGTGACTAACTTTTAGTGGCTTAAATGAACTCTACCACTAAACTTGCCTGGAACTAGGACCCCAGCAAACAAATATATTTTTGCCTGGTTAGTGGACAACAAAGGGACCCCAAAAAAGCAAACAAGCAAAAAGGGAAGCTCATTCTGGGGAAGTAAACACGCTGAAAGGCTAAGGGGATGGCTGGGCGTCACCAAGTTGAGGTTGGATCCAGCGCATCCCAGCCTTGCGCTTGCTGATGTCTCGCCGCCGCCCAGCATTCCTGGAGAGAAAGCATGAACAAAGGGAGAGGGGGTCCGAAAATTGGTTTGGACATGGCTGTGGGTCAAAAGCCAGAAAACCCCTGGTGAACATCACAAATGGATGCTCATCCAACCCAAAATGGAGGCATAGGTCATGCCCCATGGCCATATGATGTTTACTTCAGGACCTGCAGAGGTGGACATCATTTACACGCGGCGCAACCACTTTTGAAGCGGGGAAGGCACCAATTTCACATTACCCCTGCTTGTGCGTGGTTGCGCACCACGGAACCCGGAAATGGCCTCATTCGTCTTGTTTGTGGGCACTGGGATTCGGCAGCTGACGCCCAAGCAACTCGAAGGTTTTGAAACTCCATGTACCATGCAAATCCAAAAAGGCTTTGCCACTCAAATGAAGAGACCTCTATGAACGATTCTTCTTTACTGCAGGAAAGCAAGACCGCCCTTTCAGGGAATACGCCAACCCAGCCGTTCACCACCACATGCAACGGATGCACTACCAACAATGGCTGTGTTTCCTTCGCTTAGAGAAGCGGTACCTTTGGGCTTCAAAGAAAGACCCCGCGGCTTCCCATCCGTTGTGCTCTGACAGAGACCCCAAAAACATCAGCTCAGCGCCACCAGCATGTTGCCCAATATCCTGGCATGGCCAGCATAAACCATCTCTACCCTGTGTGTCGCCAACGTTTCCGGCATCACCAACCTCCATGCACCCACGCTAGCAGTATCGCATAGACCCTCCAAGATTCACCAAACAACGGTTCAACTACATCATCAATCGCCAGCAAATGCCATCACCATGACCTTCCTTCCTATTAGGGACCGCATGGGTTGTAGGTTTCCTGTCCTGCATTTTCGTCTCATGTTCCACCCTTTTCAGGTAGTAGCGTTACCCTTCCTTTTCCATCCCTTTTTAGGTAGGTTTCCGCATCGGCAGTCAACATGACGACTTAGATGCCCTAGTGGCTAATACCTCCAGCCCAGTCCCCTGAGTGGGTTTACATGTACTTACCTGACGCACTCCAAGAAAAGCAGCTCACTGGACTCGGAAGTCGCGCGCAAAAAGATGCCCTCTCGCCTTTTCAAATGGGTGCGTGTGTGTCAAAATAAAGGGCAACCCCAAACTGAAAGCCTGGCAAAGGCACACAACGACTCAAATTTGCGCTCCAATTCCTGGTGGTTTAATTTTGATCACTCCTGCCCTGGACCCCAAAAAAACAACCCCCCCTTTAGCCGCTAGCAGCCTACAACACACCTTCCCCGATTTACATCATAACCTATTGCCAGGGTCCGTTTTCCATTCCCAGAAAATCCAGTCCTGTCAGGATGGTCCAAGGAGCATCCCGGCGGGCCTGCGGGGCCTGACTGGAAAGGGCTGGGCCCTGTTAATAATGATTCTGGTAATGGAGCCAAACCACGATTAACCTGCTCCTCTCTAACTAAGCAGGGGTTCAAATCCCCACACCACCAATTCAAACCTACTGGGGGTAACCTGAAGTATTCGCCAGCACAACAATACAACAACGAGTACATATCATCGTGTTCTGACTGTGGCACATATGGTTTCAACAAGTTGTGCGGAAAACAAAAGGTCAGCTCCAACCGTGCCATGATAAAATACACATAATATGAGGATGCCCAGCTTGCTCCCTACTCACAAGTATTTAGGGCCAAAGTAGGAAGGGTGTCTTCAGCTAGGCATGAGCTATACCTTCGAAGTTGTTCTGCTTTGAACATGGACCCGTGTTAGGCCGGCAAAAGCAGGAACTGTTGGTTGGTTCCCACTCACCACGGACAGGAGCAAACAATCAAACTATGTAAAACTGTAACACACCCTGTTGGTTCCCTGTCCGCGCTGTTGCACAAGTCTTCGAAAGAAACCCGGCCAAAGGGCCTCATGATCTGAAGTGGTTACTCCTGCAAATGAGAGCCAAAAATGGTATCCAAGTGTCCAGAACGTTCTCCCTTTCCGAATTCGCTAGTTTCCCTAAAACTCAAGACCCGCTAAGCTTGCCAAACCACCTTGCATCAGAATTTCGAGATCTCTTTTTTGAGGTAACATTTTGTTCCAGGCAAAAAACCAGAGAGGAAGCAATCAAACGGGTGCTGGTGGCAAGGAGATGCATACCACAATAGGGATCCTTACATTGTACACCTGAACATTGCCTTGTAAATAAATGGTTGTTTCCCCTTGTTTTGGTGGAAAAAGCCATGTTTCAAATGGGCAAAATGTATCTTTTAAGGAGCCCCGCACAAGATCAGCTTGTTTCCTTCACAACCAGCTCGAACCGCCATAAGTCTGTTGATGTTTGTCACTCGGTACCCTTGTTTGATGGTTTTAAAGGGAAACCAAAAGGAACATCGCCATTTTGGAGGGTCCCCTAAAAAAGACACGCCCATCTGTCTCAGGGTTGAACCTGGCCAACTAACCTAAGCTTTCACAAGTTGAAACCTTGTACCCTGACAGTCGGCTCCTGTTGGTTCCCTCTTCAATGCTTCCATTTCTCACCATGGCAGGCAAATACAGGGTGAAACCGGTAGATTGCGAGAAGTGTTCTGTGCAGCCGCTACAAGCAGAACCCAAAAGCGGACAAGCGACATTGCGAAGATCTGACTTGAATGCTACAAGCTTTCAAAGGATCGCCTCGCGCCACAGCTGGCATCAGTGGGTCACATCTGTACACAAGATGTACCCTCTTTCCAATCATGGATTTGCACGTTTTGGGGCTTCCCCAAAAGGAAAGAGTTTTTTTTGTTTTTAAGTTAGCTTCCATGATTGAAGGGAGGGTAACATGTTCTGATGTTGTTGTCCCAGTTTCCCCTCTGGCTGCCCAGCCCGTGATTCCCTTGGTTGCCTACTCTGGGCTGTCATCAGCTCCCCCGCTGAAAGTTTAACTTTTAGTGGGCTAAATGCACGACCCCACTAAACACTCAAAGCCTAAAAAGCTAAGGAACCGGATGGCTGGGAGCCACCAAGTAGGGAAACGCAATCACTGGAAACCCCACAAAAAAAATACAGTTCCCAAACCGACGACATCCATCTCACCGGGCCTTCGTAGAACCTCAGGAACATGCGAACCTCAGCGGGCAGTGGATGAACCGCATTCCGAGCCTGAAAAATGGCTTCCTGGGCCCTCAAACTACAACAAAAATGAAGTCACCCCATATTTTTTGTGGGACATAACATGCTTTAAGGGAATGTTGAGGGTTGAGGCTGCTGTTTCTCCTCTTCCATGAAAATGCAAAAGAAACAAACAAATCCGAAAGGCAGGGGCTGCCAACTCTCCTTTGCACATCGACACAGACCCCACCCAGAATACAAACAACACAAACAAATATATCCACAAACGACGACAAGCGACAAACAAAACACACACACCCAACACACGCCAAACGCACACCAAACGCACAGCAGAATCTCAGAACGGACCGGGGGTGCTCGTCATGGTTTTGTTCTTTAAGCGCCAAACACTTGTCGCATGAAACATTTTCAATCAGCGAGCTTTGTAGGGCCGTGAAAAAAAGGGGGTGTGTCGTTGTTTGAAGCTACCTGGCTTGGACGGACAAAAACCAAGAGAAAACCGCAAGTTGCGACCCCTATTTTCGCAAAGGGGTACTTTGTGTGACTTGTTTGAGGGTCCCCTTTTTTTGGGGTTGCTTTTAACTGGAAGCCAAACGGAAACCACCGGGACATCAAGGGATTTGGTGGGGTTGACACCTAGACCCTTAGGGATTCAAGTCATTGCTTTGGAGGGTGCCACGTGCCACACATCCACTTGATTAAACATTAAAGTACAGCAATATCAACACAAATGAGCGCCTTATCTTGTTTGGCTTACAAACCATACTTATACACATTCTCATCCTTTTTGAAATTAAGCACCTTCAATTCCAAGCCCTTTGGTCAGACAGGCTTTTGGAGGGAGGTTTTTCCATGCCACACACCCACTTGGACCCTTCGGGTAAGACAACAAGCGCTAGAAAACCCAAGCCAAGCAGCGCTGGCTGGAGGCGAGTCGCTCTGCACCTGCGTGACCTCGGCGAAACTTGGCGGTGGTCAAAACCGAGAAGGGGATCCCATTTTGGTTAGGTGAATTCACCTCCCATTTTAGAACCCATTTTAGTGGTTGGATTGGTTGGATGTGCACTGCGGGTATTTGGATTTTGACCCATGGCCACTTGGCCTTCGCGCTTCTCAGAACTGCCCTGCTAAACCCAAAAAAAGCCACAAAAACCGGGGGACACCAAGGGCAAACCGGAAGTCTTCAAAGGGCGAAACCAAAAGGTTAAAAGGTTGATTCGCTTTGGTTGCAAGTCCGGGCTGCCTGCGAAAAGTGACTAACTTTTAGTGGGCGAAGTTCGGAAATCCAACCACTAAATGCAAACAAAAAGGATCTTAAAAAAAAGAAAGAAAACAAAAAAACGAAGGAAGCGGATGGCTGGGTGCCCAGCCATCAAGAAAAGGGGAGGCCACAAAAACCGGGAGACCAAGGGGAAACCCGCATTTTTTCAGGGTTTGCCCCGGTTTTGACACCTACTCATTCAAAGGGAGGCCAAACAAACACAGGGAAACCACGGCGACAGCCGCATTTGTTCGGGGTTCCCCCGGTTTGACACCTCGGTTGGATCTTAAGGGTACCTTTTCTGGATGGGGGAAAAGCCGCCCTTTTGTCCTGGGCTGGCCGTTGTCTGATCTCCCAAAAGTCGACAACTTCTGGGTGACCAAAAAACCTTGAAACACCCAAGAGGATGGCCAGGATCCGCCAAGTTTCGGAGTTCCCCCTGTTTGTACACCTACTCATTTGGGTATTCAGGATACCTTTTCCGGATGGTTTGAGAACCACATGGAACAGCCAACATTTGGACATGGCTCTCTATGTTGAGAAACACCTGGCCCGATCTGGGGTACACAAAGAAGAACCACCCTCTGACTCTATTCCATAATATCTGAACCATAAATCAGTTTTAGATATGTTTAGGCTCCGAGACTTCAGTCCGAAATTGTTCGCTGTTGAATTCTGTTCAACCCTCGCTTGACCAAAAAGGAAAAAGAAGAAAACGCCTCGTGTCCAATGCTAAGATTGTGAATGCGGTTGCTTTTCGGACCAACCAGCAGAGCTCGTGTTGCGAGTGGACGAACAAACAGTGGTATGTGGAATCTGGGGGAAAGCCTGAAAACCCTCCCCATATGCCATAAAGGGATGGTGTTCGAAAAGAAAAAGGCAGTGGGGGACTCAACTAGAGATTTCGCAAAAACCATTCGGCGTCGCGTAATAGACAGTCAACCAACCCCAAACCAATACAAAACCAAAACCTAAACCATCTATTGTGTTACGCCCGCCTTTACCTCCCCAGATCCACATAGAACCCCAAAATCCATCCAACTTTCGAGGAAGCTTCTTTGCGGGGATCCGTGTTGTCCATTTGCGCAGCCTCGCTCGGCTGGGCTCAATCGCTTGGCCCAGGCACTGTCTCGTTGGAGATCTCGAAGAAGGCGACGTAGCCTCGGCTACTCGTCTAGCTCCGGTGAGCAGCTATGAACATATTCCTGGATGGGCCTAAGTCCAAAAACTGTTTGTTTCCCTCTGAAATGATCAAATGAGCTTCACAAAACTGGGCTGCCCATTTTCAGATCCCCCGCGAAAAGTGACTAACTGTTAGTGGGTTAAATGGACTCTTCCACTAAACACTAAAAGGCTAAAAGGCTAAAGAGCTAAGGCTGGCAAATCTGAAACCATTGAACCCATAGCTCAATGGGGGGCCATGGAGAGCCCTGGGGATCTTTGGTGAGTGGTTTCTACCCATCATACCACAGGCTCAAGCAGGAATTCGGGAAGCGAGCTCGCCACTTCGCTTCGCCCGGTCAGATTCACCTAGATCTTGGGTGCTGTGGATCCCCCAGCAAAAGTATGTTTTTGTTGCTGGTTAAAAGGAAACATGAGGGGAATCCCAAAAAGTGAAAGTCTAAAGATCCAACCCAATAGCAGTACAGTAATATCGTGAGATGGGCAGGCTGTAGGTTATGACCTAGGTGGATCTCACCACTTAACTGATCCAAGTAGGGTCTCACTTTTGAAGAAATTCGGAGGGGAGCAAATGGGGGATCCTTTGAAACGAGTGTGAGACTACATTCCAGCACCCGGTTCAACCACTGACCTTTGGTTCCACCAGAAAGTTTGCAAACGTTTATGGTACAAAGTGCCCCGATGGGCGCTCGAGTGCTGCTCATTGAACAGGAACCCCTCATTTCCGATCCGGAGGTGTCCCAGGGCAAAAAAAACCACTCCAAATCGCTTTTTGGGTAAGACCCCCGTATTGATGCGGGCGGATCAATCCGGTCGACCTTGGTCTTCAAATGAAAAAATCCCATAAAACGGGCCCACGTTGCAGGACGTGTGTGTGTGTGTGTGTGTTTCTTTTGCTGACTGAAGGGAAACTGACGGAAACTTCTGGAAAACCGAAAAGGCAAAGGGAGAATGATGACACACCCAAAAGACAACAGGAACATGAGACAACGACGAGGCAAAAGCTTCAAAAAGCAAAGCTACTTCTGATGTGACAAGGGCGGCGCTTGACTTGCGTAGTGTGGAAAACAACCCCCCCTTCCCTTTCCGGTCTGCTTGCATCCTCGCTTCTTTGGGAATCGGGGATGTTCAATTCCCTGTAAAAAAGGTAACCATGTCAAAATGTTGCCAACAAAAATGTGCCCACATACCCGTTTCCGCCCCAAATGTCCACTTTACACTGCCAAACCGTCTTCTAGGTGTTACTTCTGCTCTTTTCTGGTCAGCTAGCTAGTCCCATCTAACAGGGATGGACATGCTAGGTCCTCCAGCAGAGCTTGGAATCAGGGCGCCATCTTTTTTTCTGTGGCCTATTTCAGTAGGGGAAGAGCCTCCCAACCAAAAGAAATTTGGTGAGAAAGGGCACCTAGCTGGGGGACCTAGCTGATTGATGATTGTTTTATCATTGTGATGGAAAATGGTTGAAGTCATCACTCCACAGCCCAATGTGCTTGTGTTTGTCCTTCCTCCGGCCACCGAAAGCGGGGTCGTTCGAAAAAGTCGTCCGCCCCGTCGGCCGATCGATCCATCGGCCCAGCCGCTGCAGCCGCCGGTTTCTGCGGCCCAGGGGTTCTTGGGGTTGTAGTGCGGCAGCATCACCTGAGTAAACAAAAACCCGGTATTAAAATGGTCGTAATCCCAGAACCATGCTTCAAGAATTAAGAAGGCGGATATTTCTGGCGGATAGCCCCTTACTAACCTTCATCTACCCGGGTAACAGTTTTGCTGGTGGGTTGTGGGAGGCAACCAGTGGGTTTCACCATGCAAATCCTGGAGGTGGAAAACACCCAAGCGAGTCTGATGGAAACAAATATTCTGTTTCACCATCATGCAAATCCTGGACGGTTGGATATCTTCCTGGAGTTCAACCAGAAAAAGGCAGATGGGACATCATGCAAATCCTTGAGGTGGAAAACACCCAAGTAAGTCTGTCGGATATCTTCTTGCACTTTGGGTTTCAGCATGCAAATCCTGGACGGTTGGATATCTTCTTGGACTTCAAACAGCAAAAGGCAGATGGGACATCCCCGTTTCTGGTGGCCCGAAACGTTGCCCACTGATCGTGTACCATTTGATCGGAACAAGAACGCACTTGAACATGTTTCGATCTCTGCAAAACAAACATCACCAGGGACATCAGAAAAATTTTGGACGTCTCTGCAAACTGATCTCTGAACATGGTATCACCCTGCAAAATGATTCGATCAAAACCAAAACCCCGGAAATTTGAGGCTGACGTCGCTCGTGTTACCCCCGTTCTCTTCGATACACGCTGGTTTTACCAGCCGCACCGGGCTTCGGCTCCCTTTCCGGGGCCCCCTGCCCGAAATTCCGACGAAACCGCACACCCCCGGCAAGGTATAGCGAGTTCAGCCTCCACTCTTAAGGAAGGCAGCCACGTAAGGCATCGTGGGAATAGGCTGAAAGGTGTCCATGCGAGGTGCTCCCTTTCAGCAGGCGCCAAAGATGGGCAGGGGACAACAACTTGGTTGACGTTGGGTTTGGGGAGCAACAATTCAAACAAGTCTCAGCAGTTAAGTGGTTGGACTTCAACCACTAAACCACAATTTCAGCAAACATAAGCAACATGTCTCCCAACAACAACCACCTCTTCACCTTCTTGCTTTTGGCTCGTTGCCACTTTAAGGAGTTCACTGGCCAGTAAAGTTTAGCCTTTCGCCTGGGTTGTCCATCATGTTTGTCTTACCTTCTTGTCCTTTTGCCTGGAGTTCCCCATCCTTGTGTTTTTCTGTTGAAACATCATTCAAAACATATTTGCCACATATCTAAGAGCTCGGGATTCCAGGGCATACAGTTTAATGTCTTGCTCTTGTTAAATTTTAACAAGAACAACACAGTAAACTGCATGAGGACCCCAAGACCTGAGAGATCTGCGGCAAATATGAGGGCCGCAAAAGACCCCAGACATCAAATAGGGTCTTGGGATCCTAGGGATATGTGTGCTTTCTCTTTTATATTAATATTTATTTCTTATTACTTTGCTCATTATTGTTATTTCTATTATTATTATTATTATCATTATTATTATTATCATTATTAGTATTATCAGTATTATTAGTATTATTATTATTATTATTAATAATATTATTATTTGTGTCATTGTTATTGAATCTTAGTATGATCATGATTCCAATGTTCTTCCACAAACAGTTGCCACTTCTCCGACTGCAGTCGAAGGAAGGCTTGCATTCGAACAGCTCACGGGGGCACTGGGGTTCTCCAGGGGAAGCATGAGGGGCAACTTCCCTTTGGTTTCCCTTTGTAGCCCGGAAATGGCGCGTACATTCCAACCCATATTCGCATGTCTCAGATCTAACCTATGCACTCAAACCTCCAAAACGTCGGCATCGGATTTTTATCCATGCCACATACAAAATGGATGCTCGGTGCCCCGAAGCCCCTTCACGGATCCAGGGTGTCAAAGTTCCGCCGGCCGTTTTCGGATCCCCTACTGAAAGGTGTCGTCCCTCTACACGAACCGTGTTTTCAACCTGAATCGCCAAGTTTGGAGGGGGGGGTTCGAGGGGGGGGTAGGGGTATGGTTAGGTTCGTGTTGACCGCAAAGAAAAGAACGACTCTCCACCGCCCTGGCTCGACTCTTGTCGAAGCTGCTGCCTTCGCGATTTCGCCTCTTGTGGAGGCGCTGCAGTTGCCATTAACCGCCAAACCAACTAAAAACCAAAAACCTCAAGGGGGATGGCTGGGACCCACCAAGAGCCCAAAAACGTCTACCCTGAGCCCGGGACCCCTTCTTTGCCCAAATAAGCGCAAGAAGAGGCAGATTTCAGGGAGGGTTGCGGAAGCGTTCCAGGGTGGGGCTGCTGGGCATATCACCTAGGCTTTTCTTGGCTTCCTGTTAAGCCAACCAAAAGGGGGACCCCGTACAAAAAGACCCACCCAAATTCTCCGTTCGGCTGCGGCGCGTTGATGCACAGCACCCGCGGCAGAGGACACTCAGACGTCCAAATACTGTCCGGGGACTTCGGCGGAACGCCGTCCACCTCAGTGGTCGCTTCTCGTCGTTGCATCTATGTCCGAGGTGTTGTAGGCAAGCAATGGAATCACGCCCTTCCAAAGCCAAAAGGAAAATGGCTGGTTACCTATTCGGTGGATCAAGGGCCTGATTAATCCGGGGTCAACAGGACCCATTTCCTTCAACCCCTTCTCTTCAGCTCAGCCGCCACGGACCCAACGATGCTGTGCAAAGGCTCAGCTGATCTGATGGAATCCACGGTGAGGGTATGGTACCTAACGGGTTGCGACGTCACTCTAAACCAAATCCTGGTCACTTCAAAGGCGAAGCAGCCCGTCTGGCAAAAGCTTCCGTTTCCATGCTTTTCAGGGATCCTTTTGCTGGAAAACCAGCAAGAACCTGAAAACGGAGCTGGTTGTTGGAAAGAACGATGCGTGGAAGGAATGGGGATCAACTCCTAGAATCTAAACTAGGTGTTTAAACATGTTCAACAGGGTTGGCCCAATTCTGGTGCGCACACTGGTCTGTCAAGGGCCGATTGTGGACGGTACGCCGCAAAAAAAGGCATTTGCTATAAAGCTCTGCAAGTTAGCAAGGCTCAAGTGGTCTTGTACGAAGTCAGAACTCTTCGGAATTCAAAGTAAAGTTGAGATTTCGAATTCTAAGTGCCAAGCTAGTCCGCTGCTGCTAAAGCATGGGGATTGGGGAGCTTTTCTGATAGACAACAACAGGACCTTCATTGCCGAAGCCCCCAAAAGTGTCTTTTTGCTTTTGTTGACCCCTAGTATAAATGAAGATATCCAGGAATCAGAAACCCCCCACCCCCAATTCCAAGCACAGGATGGGGACAATTCGCGGCGGCCAACCAGTTAACCAGCAACCTTTTCAGTGAACCTCAAGATCACCCGGCGCAAGCCTCGTAAATCGGGGCACTAACCACTCAGTTGAGTCATAATCAAAACCCGGTATCAAAATGGTCCAAGCAGAACCACGTAAAGAATTAAGTTTTCGGATATCCGCACCTACTTTTGGTTGGGATTGTCCCTTACTAACCGAACCATCTACCCGGGTTTTCAGCAAGTGGCTCAGTTGTCCAAAGGACCCAGAAATGAAAGGTCAACCTTTCGGGCCATGATAGAAAATGGTGTCCAAAAACTTGGTTGCTGTTGACCACCACCCTGGGAAAAGTTTAACTTTTTAGGGGGTTAGTGGGAAACCCCTTGATTTCCTAAAAAGTTAAAGTCTAAAGATCCAACCCAGTAGCAGTCCAGAAAAGGGGAAAACTGAAAGGTCAAAAGGTCGATTCGATTTGGGCCAGTGAGACCATCTCCCGACCCCAAAACCAAGGTACTTCCTTGGTCTTCCAACCAGGATCCTCCTTGATTTTGATCTTGGCCCCAAATGGAAATTCGGCCAAAGGCCTGCTTTTCCAGGGTCCTGGAAGATCAAGGACTTGAACGTTCATTCCTAGACGATTCCTGTCAGGAAGGAAATTGCGGGGGAGCCGTTCGAGTATCTCATGGTGAAACGATGTCCGGCGGCGGCGTCCCGTTCGGACGGCCAAGTGCGGACGAGGTACAGGTGGCCCTTCTTGGTCTCCATGTGCCGGCGCTTGTTGTGGTAGTCGGGCCCACAACGCACCTTTCCATGGGAGTGAGTGCGTGAGTGAGTGAGTTGAGCTGAGTTGAATTGAGTTAAGTTGAGCAGAGTGGAGTGGAGTGGAGTGGAGTGGAGAGGAGTGAGTGGAGGGGGCCAGGGAGGGGGGAACGCTTAAAGAAAAGGGCCGCTTTAGAAGCCTTCCCTCAGCTCGTGTGATACGACGTCCGGCCACTCACTCTGATTCAAGCCAAACCATTTTGAAAAGTTCCAACACCAGCACCCTGTTATTTCCCCTGTGGTTTCCCAAACGCTTACCCGGCAACTTTTCTCGCACTTATGATCAATCATTCTTGGTTCACCTTCACTTGGTTGACGTTGGAAGGGGAGCAAACAACTAAATCTTAGCAGTTCAGTGGTTGGATTTCAACCACATTCAACCGCAACTTCAGCAAAAACATGTAAAAACATGTTTCCCAACAATAACCAAGTGGAGGTTGAACCCTAGGGTAGCAGCCGCTTTCTTGTTGGTTTCTTTTCTTATCTCAGGTAAAACTCATTTCTTGTTCAGCTGCCTTGATGTTTATTCATTCCTTTCACTTTGCTCACAGGATGGATCCACTCCGCAGGACCGCTTTGGCCTCTAGGCACCAGCCGGTGGCGAAATCTGCGCCCTGCGAAAGGTGACTAACTTTTAGTGGTTCAAGACGGAAAACCCATTAGTTGGCAAAAAGTTGAAGTCCTAACAGCCCTTGGCAAAATGCACCAAAGAGCCTACCTTGGGGGACTTATAACAGTTACAACAGGTGAGTCACTTGCTCAAAACCCGGTACTAAAATGGTTGACCCACAACCATGTAAGGAAATGCAAAGGCGGATATCCGCAACTATTTATGGCTGGGATTGTCCCTTACTAACTTTCATTTGCCCGGGTTTTGATTGTGGCTCAGGTTAACTTTGCTCGTTGAACGGGAGAATTATGCATGGACAATGAAACAAGGCAACAGGCTGGACAAGTAAGATGAAGAAGCGTGGCAATGCTACAGTGAATGCTCCACATATTGCAAGTAGACCAATCACATCCAACCACTAAACGAAGGAAAACCATTGGGAATCAGAGCATTGGTTCCCCTTGTTCCCTTGCAATATTGAGCCGGCATCCACCATGGGGTTGGGACAGTTCCTTGTCCTCACGTGTT